AAAGTATTGTTAAAGAAGAATATGTAATAAAAAAATTAAATAAAAAAAAATTACAAAAATTTTTTAAAAAAAAAGTATTTGCAGCTCTTTACAACGTTTAAGCACTTACACTTTTTTTATTTTTATTTTATCACCACCCTCTGGCCTACAATTAACAAATAATGAGGCTAATATACTAAAGGAGTCCAGAAAATACACATATTTAAAAATTGTGTGAATATTGACTATAATTAGCTACTCCTGATTATTTTATCTGCACATGACTGGATAACTCAAGTGAATATTGACACAATTTATTGCGTGAACCTTCTCAACTCTTTTAGTAAGTCAGCCTCTGTGTGGGTAATAGTACATAAAAATCAAAAAAATCCCAATTTGGGCCTTCAACAGCTTCTGTATACTACAGTGAAGTTCTAAACTGAAACTGGGCCTTCAGAAACCTCCCCACACTACACAGAAGTTGTCTTTGGTTTGTGATGGTGACAACCAGTTGAGCACACGCCATATATGTTGTCAAGCTTTAAATGTAACACTCGAGTCATGTTTTTCCAAGTCAACCAAAACCCAACAAGCAAAACCCATACCGCAACATCCTCCATCTGCTGGCCCATCTCTTGTAGGCCGAGGTTGTCGGCTAGGTTGGAGTCCAGTCCATGGCCGCTACCGTGCTGAAGAAGAATGTCTGGCCTCCTCTGGAAGTCTCTGCTCAACCTCCCCGATGAAGGGTCCAAAGATGGAATGTGGTGGACCAGCCCGGCCCGGTTGTGGTGGGAAAGCCCTCCGTGATCTTGGTTCTGACGGCCGGGCCATGCTTGCTGTTGGCTGGGAGGCGGGTGAGAAGAGTGGAGGGTGTTCAAGGAGAAGGGGTCTCCCAGGTGGGAATAAGGGTCTCCAGACTGGGAGTAGGACAGAGGCTGGTACGGAGGTGGGAAGTACGGGGGCTGAAAATCAGAAGACCCCGAGTGGGAGAGAGGGGGAGCTGGACTGTACAGGTGTTGGCTGACTGACGACAGATGATGGGGTAACCTCGAGTTCCCATTACTGCTCCCATCGTGCCGGTCCTACAAAACAAAAAAAATCATCAAGTGTTACATTTCACATTCTGACAAATCCCATTTAATCTGATGGAGCTCGTTAAAATATATAATAAAGTAAAGCAAATTGCTATTTTTATCCGGCCAGCTCCCTCCCC